TGGCATAAACATCTCCATGGCAAGCACAAGGTTTTGAGTTCGGTCCCCGCCCCAGTACTAAAGCCAGCCCACAAGGCAAGAGCAATTCAATTTATGATTTGTGGTTCCCAACAGGACAGGACTTTTCCTAGTAAATAAAGGTGCAGCTGCCTAGAAGTATTTTCTTCCAGTATTTGTTTCGAATGAGACCCTAGTAATTTCCATAGTCTTATGGGAGGCACCCCAATAAACATTGCTAAACATTATTGTGATATGTTTACATTGTTCATCATCAAAATTCTAAGTTTTCTGTGAGTAAAATAATAGTAGTTGAGGGTCCTGGGATATAGCTCAGTGGCTTAAGTACCTGCCTGGCAAGCACAAGGTCCTGAGTTCAATCCCCAGTACTGTAAAACAATAGCTCAGTGGTTTAAGTACCTGTTTGGCAAGCACAAGGTCCTGAGTTCAATTCCCAGTACCAAAAAAAAAGTTCTTATGGAAGAAACACCTCTGTCATGTATACTGTTGATTAGAGGCAATCTTCACGGCATGGGTTCAGGCCCCCATTGCCACAGCCTATCTTTAATGGCAAATGTGGACCCTTTAGAGGACATTTTGAAAACTGGTCTTTGTCTATTACTGGGCACCACTTGGTGAAAAGAGGAAGGGACAGTTATACAAATGTACTCATAATATTTCTACTATTCAAACTTGGAAAAACAAAATCACATGGTTTTCTACTCATGCAAACAATCCTTGCCTTTTTAAGATATACGGGACTGTTGAATGGAATCTTACCTCCTTTACAAGTAGAGAACGCACATTGTGCCCTTGTGTAGCAACTGATACCTTTGTAAACAAGTCTTTACAAGTCGTGGGGCATAAGCCCAGGTCCTGGGTGCCTGTGAGTCTTATGGTGCTGTAGGCCGATTTTCCTGCCCTTTACCTACCATAATCATTGCCTGATCACTTTGTGTGCCAAATGAAAAGGATGTTAGGATTTGCTATTACAGGAATGAGCTCTTTGATGTTGTTAATTTATAGTGTCACCGTATCTTCTGTAGCTCTCATTCAGTCTCTAGAAACTGCTCACTTTGTAGGTAATTGGACCAGAACCACAAAGAATAGAGCATACAACATTCTATTGCCACAAAATTACAGTCACAAATCAGCACCGGGATTGAAACCTGGCCCCTGTGCCTGCTTGCAGGTGCTTTAATCTGCTGAGGTATTTGACCAGCCCTCCTTTTTTTTTTTTTTTTTTTTCTTTATTTTTTTTTTTTTTTTTTTTTTTTTTGCAGAACCAGGGATTGAACTCAGGCCCTTGCGCTTGCCAGGCAAGCGCTTATTCTACTGTGCCATCTCTCCAGTCCCAGCCCTCCTCTTTTTTAAAAAAAAAATGTATTTGGTTGTTGCAGGGTCTCAGTATGCAGCTTGGACTGGTGGTGATCCTCCTGCTTTCAGCCTCCTCATCGCTGGGATTACAGGCATGCATTACCATGCCCAGTGTCAGTGATTGGCTCAGCGCACCCTGGGGGCGGGGCAAGCCTGGCACAGCATACTGTCCCAGGGATTGAACTGTTGTTCCTGCGCTTGCCCAAGCTTGCCTAAACAGGCACTTTAGTCCGCTGAGCTATCTTACTGGCTCCATATGATTCTTTATGTACAGCTAATCTATCAGTCGTTGGGAACATATAAAAAAAGCACATATAGGATGCTGTGCATAGTAATATAAGTATCGATTTAGAGGCATTGCAAGAAGAAATTTTATCTATATGTCAGCAGATTCAAAATTTTGATAAATTCAAGATAGGGATAACTTTAGTGATACTCTTGATCAGCTTAATCCATGAAACTATTTTATTTTTATTTAGTACAGGGTATACAGGGTCTCACTACATAGATTGGACTCGTAGTAATCCTCTTGTTTTCAGCCTCCCAACCGCTGGGGTTACAGGCACACGCCATCATGCCCAGTCTCAATTGCCCTTTCAGTGAGCCCCCCGGTGGGGGGCAGGCACAGAATACCCGGGATTGTGCTCTGCCTAAGTAGGCACTTTAGTCTGCTGAGCTATCTAGATGGCCCTCATGAAACTATTTTAAAGCTCATTTTAAATTTCATGCTGGCTTTTAAAATTTTAAAAAATTTTTTTGTCTTTTTGAGACAGTCTCCTTATGCAGTTCAGGATGTCCTTGAGTTCATTTTTTTGTCCAGGCTGGTCTCAAACTTCAAACAGTCCTCCTGCTTCAACCTCCCAAGTGCTGGGATTACAGGTGTGTGTTACCACAACATACTGGTTTAATTATATTAATGTATTTCTACTTCATACTTTGCCACTGGAAAAGCCAAACCAGCCAATGCCTAGATGCTCCTCAATGTCAAGTTATACTGTTTCAATCACTGCAATTACAAAAACAAAAAGAGGGGAACTGTTGGGGACCAGCCTTGTGATTAGGCCTGCATTCCCAAGGTTGGTGTTATCTCACCTCAAGAACAGAGAGGTGTATGGAAGCCCACAGGCATCCTGACTAGGTAAAATACTGATGGCCCAGGATTCCTGAAGCAAAGTAGCATCTGTGGAGGACAGTTGTCAAAATATAGGCACCTGGGTATAGAGAAAATCCAGTTCCTCATTAATTTGTTTCTTATCTACCCATTCTCTAAAGCTGTTGTTCCATGATATATTTGTTATCCCTCTGGGTCTTGCTTGCTAATAAAAGTGTGTCAGCCTTGAAATTGTTGTGCTTGCCCACTAGATACAAGTTCCTCCGGGTCTTCCTTGGTCCTTAAATTTTGTCTTTTGTCTTTCTTTATTCCCTGTAGCTTCCCTTTTAGGTATCTGGGGATCTGATCATCCCCGGGTAAGACAGAGGTGTACTAAGTTGCCCAGACTGGCCTTGAACCTACAGTCCTCCTATCTTAACTTCCCATATAGCTGAGATTACAGGTGTGCTCCACCATGTTCACTGTAAAATAACTTTTTATATTCTGGTAGAGGGCATTGAACTCTGAGCCTCCAAGCTAAGCTACATCTCCTGTGACCTTCCCCCCCTTTTGAGAGAGGATCTCACTGTATAGTTCAGGCTGGCCTTGAACCTGCCTCAGCTTCCTGTGCGCTGGGATTACAGGTATGTGTCATCAGGGTCAGCCAAGAGTACTTTGAAATTAAAAAATGTGCAAGGCAATAAAAGATAGTGTGCTTCTGTAAAAATAAAATATTTAAACTACTATTTCAGTAACAACATCAAAATTTAAAAATAAATAGCAAGCATGTTTTTGTGTAACAAGCAGCGTCCTGAATTCATTACATGTTTGTGTTAATTATCTATTGATGCATGAAAATATACCCCCACCATTCAGTATCTTAAAATAACAAATACACCAGGTATGGTGGTGCATGCCTATAATCCCAGCATTTGGGAGGCTGAGGCAGGAGGATCATTGTGTGTTCCAGGTTAGCCCAGGACTACATAGTGAATTCAAGGCCAGTCTGAACTTCACTGTAAGACTGTCTCAAAAAAACAAAACAAAGAATATGTATGGATATATATTCTGAGGCAGGGTCTCACCAAGTTGCTAAGTTACCCAGGCTTAGCTTGACTTTGCAGTCCTGCCTCAGGTATTCAGAGAGCTAGGAGTGCAGGTATTCACCATCGCTAATGCAAACATTTGTACCTTTTGCTTTATGTGGTGGTTTTTGTTTTGTTTTTACTATAAACAAGGAAATAAATTCTTGCTGTCCTGATGGGCATGGTGGCACACATCTGTAAATTTTGGCATTTAGGAGACTGAAGTAGGAGGATCACCATGAGGATCACCAGCTTGGGCTACACAGTGAGACCTTTTCTTTTTTTCTTTTTTTTTTTTTTTTAA